TGCGGTGGCGCGGCTCCCCGGGCTGGTGTCCCGCCTGTTGCTGCTTTGCTGGTTCGGGGGGCGAGAGCAGCGGGTGCTGCACCCGCTCCTGGCTGATGCACAGCATGGGGGCTGAGGTGAGGGTGCAGGCAGACAGAGTCCCCAAACCCTCCCAGGCTGCGAGGCCATCAGCTGCAGTCGCTTGGAGAACAGGTCTCTGCCTTTCTTCACATTTAAAAGCTATTTTTGCACCTGGTTTTGGCTCACCAGCAAGGCCAGCCCCGGACCTCCAGCTGCTGCCTCCAAAGGCAGAGGGCACGGCTGTGCTGGGGACAGGCGGCTCCGTCCCGCACCCGGTGCTGGTGCAGTTTCACCACTAGGATTTAATTTGTGTGAGGTGGAGTGAGATGCTATGGGATAAGGAATATCCGTAAATACTTGGGAAATTCCTCAAACCCTTCAAGCCCAGGCTCTTGTTGGGATGCCGAGGCTGTGACAACAGCAAAAAAAGCCTACTTGATAAATGTCAAAAGAAATACAGTAATCAGCTGAAAGCAATTTACTGAGCCATGTAACCGCCCTGGGCTCACCATTTTCCTTTATTCATTTATCATGGTAAGCACTTTGGCCAAAATACACAAAGCAGAGAAATTGTTGACATGTGGGGCCCTAGCAGAGCAAATCCTTCATCCTCCTCCCCCTCCCCACTGCACACAAACTAACTTTTTGGGAGTTGTTTATTTAAGGACCGCAGAGCACTTGGTGCTCTTTGAACCCAAATGCTTTGGGAGTGGGGCTGGCCAACACCTTCCCTCCCCTTGCCATCTCCCGAGGCTGCGGGGAGGTTGTTCACTGCTGTCGGGAAGTACCTGCTGGTAGTGAGAAGGTGAGCTGCGTGATGTGCTCAGGACCCCATTCTGCTTCTACCTCCTCTGCCCCTTGATGTGTAGGACTGGTGGCTCACACGTGTGTGCTGTAACTGGTCAGGGAGAGCAGATGCTGGCTTTGGAAAGTTCCTGTGCTGGCTCTTGGTCTTGGCTAGACCAGCCAATGCTGACAGCACTGGTTTCAGTTCTCTGTCCCAAAGCCTAAGGAACCGCAAAGCCCATCTCCCCTCCCCACACCACACCAGTCAGTGTTGAGCCTCCTCGTGCCTTCCTTGGTGGCCAGGCTGCAGGTAACTCTGCTGGCCACAACAATGGGCAAACGCTGCTTTTGAGACACGTGAACCCAAGGGGATGCATCAATTGGGAACTGGCTGTCCCAAGGCTGCTCCTCCACATCTCATTTTGACTTTATTTTAAGCGAAAACAAATGCCGAGGTTCACAGCAGGACAGTGCAGGCTCCTCTCGTGCGTGGTCCTCGCTTCTGCCAGGCTGCGAGGTGTTGGGGTGCAAACGGGCTGGGGCGGAAGGCGAGCGGGGCAGCCCTTCCTCCTGTGCCGCAGCGTCTGCGTGGGAGCCCTTCCAACAGCCTCCACTCCTCCTTCCTGCTGTTTTATTTTTAATCTTGGTTCACCCAATTCTGCAGCCACCTGGATGAAGAGCGAGGAGAGCTCCCCTTCCCTCCCTCCCTCCAGTTCAGTCCGAGGTGGGGAATCGGAGCAGCCAAGGCACAGAGCTGCTCCGGAGGTCTGGCCGAGCTGCCCCTGCCCATCGCCCGAGGCTGCTGACCCCAGGCAGGGATGGCCACTGGGGTGCACAGCAGTCCGTTCTCGCTCGGGGAGGGAGCGTGTCCATAGGGGTGACGCTTATCCAAGCAGCTCCTTGGTCTTCGCTGCCAGGAGCTTGTCCATCTCTGCTGCAGCGCTGTCTGCCATTTGCTGGATCTGCAGAACAACACAGAACAAGTCTGAGGCACATGCTAGGTGATGCCAGAGTTTAAAGGGAAAGGAATGACTGGATCACCTCCTGAAACAAAGCCTAAAGTCCTAATAAAACCCCAAATTATGCTGGGGCAGTAATGGGCTCTTCCTGGGGGCTCCTACCACCATCACCTCAGTGATTCTGTGCCAGTGTTGCATCTGTACAGTGAGAACAGGGAATGGTCAAAGGCTCTGGGAAGAGATGCACAGCACAAACGCTTGGCTGAGCTTCATAAGTAACTTGGTCAAGTCCTTATTTAACAGGGAACAGAGGGCCCATCTCATTACCGCCTGCAACCTTTCCACTATTTGGACAAACTCAGTAACAGCAGGAGCGCAGCCTTAGTTTCTTTGCAAACCCGTTAATTCTTTGTAAAAAGAGATAAATGGCTTTGTTAAAGCCCTGGCCAGGGATCAGGTCTCCTAGTAAAATGGGATGGACATAGCAAGCTTATGAACAGGACAGAAACGTGCATGCACTTATTTGAGTGAGTGCAGATAAAGGTTGGATCACATCGGTGGGGGGTATGCGCTAGTTTTACGAGACTGATTAAGATGTACTCGCTCCCAAGGTATGTGACGATGACCTTTCCTCGTCCTGAAAAATCTGGGTACAAGCAAAAATTAGACTTGAGACGCTACCTCTACAAATGCAGAAAACCATCTGCTCTGGGAGAAGGGCTTCCCAACAGGATTCGGTTACAATAGCATGGCCATTTTTCCTGCTTGCACAAATGCTCTGTATATCAATGTTTATTTTTGTGAGCACACAGAGAACTGTCCCGAAGCATTTGCAATGTATCTAACTTTAGCTGTTAATAAACAAACAGCTAAAAAGTAATGGCCTGCCTTCAGAGGTATCAATTCAGCAACACACTTAGGCTTGTGCCTGAGTTTATGCCCAAGTAATTGACTTTAGTGACATCTGCTCTTAGGGAATTAGGCATGTGCTTAAGTATTTTCCTGAATTGGAGCCAAAAACTCCTAACAGAGATAATCTTGCTAGCCTTTTCATTAATAACAAACTGGAGCAATCCTCATTAACACCAGCTGTTTTGCAGTGGCCAGGCACTGTGTAAATGGTGGTAAAGCTATAGACGTGGGCTGTTTGCTCCCCAAGTTCAGCTGGTTTGTGCAAGTCCCTCATAGTATGAAAGCTTGCAGGGAATGGTTCCCCCCCCCTTGTGTCAGCTTACAATGGTTCATATCATAAATTTGGCTTTGAGATTGAAGCCCCAAATCTCACAAAGAAAAAGCAAATACAACAGCTGTTGCCGACTCCAAAAATTCAGCCCAGGGCCACCCGTTCCCCAGTCGGGTTCTCAGTGCTGGAGATTTGTCAGCAAGGGCTGGGACAAACACACCACTGAGCTGTGAAACGTCGTGATATGGCAGGAAGAAAAAAAACAAATACATTACCTGCTTTTCTAGCAGCCAGATGGTATCTTCAGACACTTTGTTCTTGGACTTCTTTACCTGGTTGATGCTTTTGCTTCGCACCTTTCTCAGGGCCTCTTTGGACTTGTTGGTGGACTGCTTGGCAAGCTTGGCCAGGCTCTCCCTGTGCTCTCTTGTTACCCTAGCAGCCAGGGGGAAGAAAAAAAAAAAAAAAAAAAAAAAAACAAACACCAAAAGGAAAAATGGCGTCAGCCAGATTTACTTTCTGCGATGGATTTCAGGTAAAAGCCACCATCCTCCCTGCTGTGGTACCTCTCCGACTGGCCTAGGCAGAGCTGCCACGCAGCGCTGAGCCGGGCTGTGCAGGGACGCCCAAGAGCCGCCTGTGCGAAGACAGAGCTCGCTCTGCGTGGAGCCCCGATGTCGCGAGGGCAGAGGGGCTTAACAGCTCAGGGCGTGTTTTCATCCCGCTTTGGTCCACCCCAGCGAATCAGCCACCTCTGCCCAGCATCGCCAGGGCAGCGCGCCCCGGTGAAGCGAGTCCTGAGCCTAGAACTGAAAGTTCCCAGCACAGCGCTAAGCTGAGGGACTTGGTCTGAATCTTACTCGTTATATAGTTGTCACCACAGTGCCTGAAAGTCATGCTGAAATGCTCAGACTTTCCTTTTTTTTCTGCTGCCAAAGTATCTGCAGGAAAGAGGGAGAATCCAGCTCTAGACCCGAGGGATGGAGCTGAAAAGCGTGGTCCTGCAAAGCCAGGAGACCTCCATCTCTTCCTGAAACTCGGTATCGCCTCCCTGCAACTGAAGAGCCTGAATTACGTATCTGGAAGTGACAGAGCTTATGTTTTGCTCAACCTTGTTCCAGCTCATCATGATGGGGCTCTTCCACCAAGATGATGTGAATGCCCGGTTTGACGAGGCGATGATGCCAGACATGGCTAGCCACAGGCAACTCGGCCCAGGAGAACTTCGGCTGCACTTTTCCCCCAATGCAGGACCAGTTACTGCCGTGGTGCCACAAGAAAATCCTCAACTCTCCATCCCAAACTAAAAACTGCAGGTGATGAGGGAGCCTGGCCATCTGAATAAGGCATAGGAACGGCTGACGTGTCGCCTCGGCTCTGGTAATGCTCCAGCACCTACAGCTGATCACTGTCAACATCAACTGCTAGGGCTTAACAATAATATTTTAATTATTTTTGCTGGCTATTGACGTTTCCAGACCGCCTTGAGAACGAAAACCCCTGGTGCACTCGCTAGCGAGAGAGCGCCCGCCTGCTCGCAGAAGATATCACAAAATAAACATTTCACAGGAGTATTTAGAAATTGGCTGCAACAGCCTGGGTCACCAAAACACTGAGGCCAAGACTCTTCCTGCGGAGAGCTTGGGGAAATGTGGGGTGAGGGCTCCCAGGGCAGGGCCAGCTCTGCCCCCGTGTGGGGGTGCAATATGGGGAGGCTGCCAGGGCATGATCGGACCCTCGGCCCTTCCCAACCTTGTCCTCAGCCCAGCCGCGTCGCACGCGCGCCGACACCTTCCCTGGGCAGCCAGGTCGCTCACAGCAGGCGTCTGCAGAGGCGCTGCCCTCTCGCCTGTTATCTGTATTTCATGGTGCAAGAGGGAATAGGCTTCCCAGAACCAGTTAGTAATTACAGGAATTTGGGAAAGCTGACAGACCTAGAGAGCAGCTATCCAGCCCCAGCACCCACGGTGGCCCCCTGCAGGCAGCGGCTTGGCCCCCCAGCCCATCCTGCTCCCCGCTGAGGGGCGGCTGGAGGGAGATGGCCAGTGAATTTTGCATGTGGCAAGAGGCTTCTGGTCAGCGCAGGCTCGAGCCTGGACCAGACGCTTCATTAGAAGTGAGCAGGGTTACTTGTGGTTTCCTCTGCATCCCAACATCGATGCCTTTAGGGCTTCTCGTGTTCGATCTCCCCAGCCAGAGGTCCCGCGGCACATGTGAAACCAGCAAAGCCGGCTCGCAAACAGAGGTCTGGGTGAGGTCAGATTCTCAGGCAGCTTTTTGGGGGGGCGGGGAGTCAATCCCGGCTGTTAAACTTGGAGAAGGGAGCTGGAAATCTCTCCCATCTCCTGCTGGGTGGCGAGGCGAGTGGGTCCGCAGCAGGGCCGCCTGGGCTGCGGCAGACCCAGCTCGCCGTCAGCTATCGCCTCCCCGCTCCCGCCCAGCTTCTGCGAATTGTGCCGAGGGTATCACTCGCCTGCTTGGGGCTGCCGAGCCTTTAAGGAAATGTTTTTGTTTATGCAGCACTGCCAGATTTCCTATGCTTCTTGGCACGGGGTCACAGCTTTCATGCCTCCTTGTCTGTCTTTATTAACACCAATTTCTTTTTATCACTGCGCAGCGCCGTGGAGTTTCTCAGCGGGTTTTATGTTCCAGCCAGACTGTGTGTAAATTCTCAGCAATGCTACCAGCAATGCCAGAAACGGACGCTTTTTCAGGCAGATGCTGTTTCTGGTTAAGGAATCCATCAACATGAGCCAGGCCCATGGTTTCTAAGGACAGTTGTTTAATCCTGCCCCCAGACCTGAGACTTTTAAGCTGTTCTTAGATATGTTTTCTTTTCTGTCTAGTAACCATTGCCCCAACCCGCTCTTTAAAGCCAAAAAAAGCATGATGTGAACCTGGGGAAGGGGTGCCAAAAGTGGGGAACGGGGACAAGGTCCCTGCCTGTCACCCCTTCCCCAGGGGAACGCTGCCCTCCCCTGCAGCTCAAGGAGCAGCGGGGTCAAATCCTGCCGCTCCCCCAGGATGGTCCTGCCCTGCCAGGGTCAGGACAGAGCCTGGTGACGGACGTGCCAGGAACGCACACCGCCCCGCGGGTAACATCTCCTCTTTTTTCTGCTTCCACCAGCAACCAGTGGTTTAAGCTCTGCAACCCTTGGATGCTCCTCTCCCTGCGTACGGCAGGCGCAGACCCACAGCCAGCACGACGCAGGCCGCGTCTCGTCTCCAACGCAAGATGTTTATGCGGGTAAGAGTCATTTCTGTATCTCAAATGCTAGGAATTTCCTGTGAAGGAGAGGGATCAGTTAAAAGAAAGTAGGCTTAACTAGATACTCTGCATGCATAATTGCAGATAAACACAGGGTGCAACATATATTGCTCAACAAAAAGCATGCAAGAGGCTTCTGATGATGAGCGACCCTGACCAACGCAGCTCAGAAACAGCTTTGGTTTATTTCAGATTAATTTTTTTGAGTCCTTTCTCCCCATAGTAGGTATCTTTGCATATTTCTTAAAGGGCAGAGGAAAAAAGGCTCACAATGAGTCATTAAACTTTCAAATGAGTCATCTGGCTTTCAGTAAAGCATGTGTAAAAATATTACTAACTTACAAACAATATCCAGTGTAACACAATGGGTCCAAAAAAGATGAATCTAAAAATGAGGCAATACCATAAAAGACACAAGGTCAGGTCAAATTCGGCCAAGAGATCAACCAATACAAATGTTCCCATGGCTGGTTTTCTTTCTTTCTTTTTTTTTTTTTTTTTTTTCTTTTTAAACCCTCAGAGAGTACTTTTTATACAAATAAATATTGCCTATGCAGTGCTAGCAACACAAACAGGCGAATGCCTTAGGGAGCAGAGGGGATCCTAGCAGGAAGCAGAAGTAAACACGCAAGAAACGAGTGTCCTTTTTCTGTTCAAACTGCAATGCAAAAACTAAACGAATAGAATAAATACTGAAAAGTGAACTCCATTTTAACACTCTCGAGCACTGAAGCATCGCTGCTGCATAAGGCAAAATCTGATGCCTGCGTGTCCAGCTGACCAGTCAGACTAAAAAGTGTTCTAAATAACAGGCAAGGCCAATTCAGGTTTGATTTTACCTTCACTGTGCCACCCCTCGTGAAAGAACCAATTTCTGCAGAAACAATATTGTCTCTTCATTTCTGATTTGGTTGTTCATTTTGCACACCTGCCATAATTTTGGTGATTCCACTGCATCTGCTATATGTTCTTTCATAAACATCTTTAGAGTTGGGGAAGTGAAAAACTTAGAAAATTAAAAAAAAGTAATTTGGGGATATAATATTAAAGAGAAGCCTCTAGCAGAATTTGATTCTTTCTGACCCCTTCCACTCCCCCTTTTGCATTAGAAGGTTTTAAAAGGTTGAAGCTGTCTGCTTGTCTTCCTGATAAGTGGATGAAACTCGGAAAGACCCGGTCACGTTACTCAAGAGCGGGTGAGAAAAGACTGGAGGTGCCCACAAGGGCAGACCAGCAGGGCACGTCTCCCAAGCCGAAAACCTCTCTAACCTGAGACTCTCCGGGCTGCCAACCAGCCAGGGAGAAAGGGGCCCAGAGCAGCACCCCTTGCACACCAGAGGAACAAGGCAGCACACCAGGCTGATCCTCCCTGGGCAGAGAAGACTCCTTTTCGCTCTGCAGCACGGCAAAAGGTAGTGACAGACCGTACGCATTTGTTTAAAAAACAGTATTCTTTTTTTTTTTTTTTTAAGATTGGGATTTGCAGTTTTGGAGTTTCCTCCCCTGCAATTCATATTCAAGGATGACCCAAGTGCCCATTAACAATCAAACCACTGTGCAGCAACCCGGGAGCCTCAGCAATTATGAAGATAATGGTGCCCTCCTCCTCCTCTGCCTCCTCTCCTGAGGCATGGGGGAAGGGCAGGGAGCATGGGGAAAAGAAAATCAGCAAATAGAATGATAATGTCATTCCCTCTCACCGAAAGCAACGGAAAGCTGCAATTAGACTTCTCTGATCAAAATGCTAGATAAAATTCTATAGAATTTTTGAAGTAGACCTAAAGCACAAGAAATACTTGGTTTGTCTTTACTGAGAAGTCACCGCTTGTAGAACACGGCGTACGTGCAAGGTGTCTGCGCGCAGGCAGTGTACGGAGCCGTCTTTGCCCTTTGCGGGAGTTGTTCGTAGCACCCCAGTGCCATGGAAGCCCATGAGGGCATGAGATCCTACACATCCACATCTGCCCAGGGTATTTAGACAGCTTCACCGCTGCAGCAGCCGAGCACCCACGGGAACTTGTGAATTTTCCTTGCAGCACCCAAACCCGGGCAGAGCAGTGCTGCTGCCCCGGTGCAGGCTGTGCCAACACTAGCGAGTTGTGCAGCGCCGTAGGAGTGGAGCTGCTGGGAGGTCTCGCTCTATACGAGGTCCAGCCTGGTCCCAGGGATGGAACGTGTGTGCGCATGGGGGAGCCCTCGGCACGCTCCCAGAGGGTACCTCTCTATTTAGCTTCATCTGAAAGGAATCCTGTTCACAGGCAGAGACCCTGGCACGCTGCAGCCCGAAGCACGCTAAGCAGGGAACGTTAGGATTGCCCCACAAGTGCTCTCTTGATCGAAACCGATGCAGTGGCACCTTCTGCCTTGTCCAAGGGCTGGGGGACTCCTGTGATGGGCGAGGGAAGCGATACTCAGTCCTCAGCCAGGAGCAGCCTGCTTTTCCACCAGTCCTACACCAAAGTTTCCATGAAGCTGTCGGTTACACAGCGTGTATTGCATGAGAAGAGGGAGTGGATTTTTTTTTTTTAGTCAAAGCTATTAATTTCCTCCCTCTTACCACTTCCTTTTAGTGTTCTCTGCAGCAAAGTGCGATTCACCCCTAATACTGCTGGTTCACAACCGCGTTACTGCTGCTCTATTGCTGGTGTAACGCAAGGAATTTACAGCAGGGCAGCAAAGAATCACCCCCTGAATTACGGCCATACAGCTTCAAAAGCCTTTGGCTGTCTCTTGCAAAGTGCTGCAGCCAGCTAGGACCAACTTTCCTCTGCAGGGGGAAGATGAAGAACAATGAGACCAACCACTAGATGCCAAAATGCGGTGACTAAGAACTCAGACACTTGGAAGAGCTTCCACCAGATGCTTTCAGGGGCTCAGATTTTTCTTCTGAACCTGAAATACAGCTATGTGGAAAGCAGCGTCATCATGACATTACAGCAATCGTGCATGCTTACTTTCTGAAACACACTCACTGCAACCTACTGCGTTATCTTGCGTGATGAGAAACTCAGGCAGCCATCGATACTCACTTAGGAATTGGCACCCGAATTATTGTCCCATCCACTTCTGGGTTCAGGTTCATGCCACTCTCCCTTATAGCCTTCGTAGCTGCAGCTGTGCTCTGTAAAACAGATCAAAAGGTAAAGGGAATTAGGAAATAATCATTCCCATATGCCAGAACTCTGTCAATAGTTGGCAATCCATCTCCACGGAACATGGAAACATTTACTTCTGTTACCAGTAAGATCAGGAAGTTACATTGGTGCGGAGAGCTTTGATCAAACTGAATGGGAAACTACGGCCGCGCTCGGTATCGGGGTAGGGGGGCATGAAGGGGGGGAGAGGGGAAGGGAAGCAACAACAAAAGAAAACTGTTTTGCTTCTTTGAAACTATTTGAATGGTTTGAGGCAACGCAGAGCGAAACCGCAATAAATTCCCAAGGCATAGCCTGGCTGTGGCGAAGGAGATGAAAGATTCTGAGCGTTTAAAAATTCCAGTTGAATGTTTCCCACTAGAAATCACACAGTGCCAATTTAGAAACGTTAACTAACTTAACCACTTCAGCGCTACAACCTGACCACATTACATCAGGGCGGTAGCAGTTGGCTGAGAAATAGCGCCTGCGCCCAGCTCTATGTTTATTTTGCAGCTTATTACTTAGGATTAACTTCTCAAAACTCCACCACCGCTGGCTGACGCTCTGCTCCGCTTCAAAGGTGGGGTGCGCAGGTTTGCCTGGTAACTGCAAAGCGATTAAAAGGCTTCCTTCCCCATGCCAGGGCGCTGGCGTACCTTTACAGAGTGTCAGGCTTTACGGTTAAAGCAGAGCTTTGCCGGGAGCTGCCGCAGCGCTCTGCCAGGTTGCCTCATTCTTGACATTGACAATAACAAGACGGAGCGAGTCTGTGTTCTTGTGGCACTCGCGTGGCATTTCCTTACAAGGCGCGTTGCTATTTCTGATACTCTTTCCCGTCATTAACTTCAGCCCCAGGCTGCTGCAGCAGACTTGCACTTATGAAGCTCAGCTTTTGTCAACGGAGGCGCAAACGAAAGCTCTGCATATTTGTTTAGGCCTCCGACGCGTGACATCACCGAACAAAATGAATGTTCTGCTAGTGTTTTGTAAGACATAACTGCTGTCCTCTAGAATGCAAGGGCAGAGAAAACATAACCAAGCCTAGCTCAGCATGTTAGGAATATAAACGTGTGATCCTATGGACGGTGCTTGCTCTGTAGGAAGGAGATGCGCAGTAAACGCTGTATTGTTTACCATACATATTGGAGGAGATAGAGCAAGGGGAAAATACGGCAGTATTACCCCCATCTTCTTGCAGCCCATGAAATAAATAGCCGCGCTTCAAAACCAGTCTTGTTTGGGTTGATATCTCTCAGGCAAACAGAATTTGGCCCTGCAAGTCCTTTTCTATCATTATTTTCTTTCCCAGGATCTTTAGGCATTTTTATTTGCTTTTCAATGCCATGAAGTACTGGCTCTACGCTGTAAATAATGGCATCAAGTAAACGTGGCTGTAATGGTTTTAAAGAGTTCAATCTTTCCATGGAACAGTTATGGTATTAAAACAACTGCAGTGAGAGAAACAGTTCTAGCTCCAGTTCAAATGAAAAATGGCCCTTTGGCTTGGAAAGCAATGTAGGCAGTGCTATACAGCGTGAGATTTAATTTCTCACGTGCTCATTTCTCAGCCTGGGCTCCCACTTGGACATGGGCTAAGTCATAGAGTGACTTCTCCAGCCCTCCCTGCTCCAGCACTCGGAGGGACCTCGGTGCACTCGCTGATGAGGGACCTTCATTCTTCAAAGCCACTATACATGCTGGGTATACTTTAAGAAACACTTAGGTGTCAAGTGCCTTACACTGACCTCCTCTGAGACTTTGCTGACTTAATTAATTGGGGAAAGCCTTTGCAAAATAAATAGAGATAAGCTTTGGCAAACCTCCAGACCTGGAGCGGGATGAATAGCTAACCTTGCACTCATTACTGCGCCTATCTGCATGGCTGCCTGGCTCTGACGGCGTGAGCCCACTGCAGGGGACCACCAGCGCTCGATCCTGAGGTGGGATTCAGATCTCCTGCCTCGTTTAGGGGCAAGTCTAACTAAGGCTCCTGCAGGAAATTAAGGGAACTCAGCTCTGCCAGAGGATAGGTCAAAGCACCTAATTTGGGTTCTGACCTGCAGGCACTACCAAGGGAGGAGCTCGCTAACCTCAGCAGTGCCCGGGGCAGGCCTGGGACAGCGCTTAGCACAGGCCCGGCTCAGCCCCACCAGGGATGCTTTTCAGAAGCTCCTAGACTGTATCAGCAGCTTCTTCCATGAGCTCTCAGGGGGTGTCACCAGCCCTGGTGATAAGTAAGCAAGTTTTAGAGGAGTTTGCTAGTGTCCCCAGCACAAATGCGGACTATTCCAACCACACGTTTCGTTCTGCGCATGGCCACATCTTCAGAAGGAACAGAAATGACATAAATACAATGGGGCAGATGCAGCACCGCTTCCACGTGGGTAGTTCAGGCGAACCAAAGGAGAGCATGTGTGCGCTCAAGACTACTGGGTGCCACAAAAGCACGGGAAATGGGGAAACCTGGCAGGGCACAGTTAATCTGGGTATCTGGTCTGGGACACGCTCAGCGCTGCTTTTCAACCAAGCTCTTAGAGATCCAGCTGAGGGGAAAGCAGTCCCCAGAGCAAACCCCTCATACCGTGGCATTTATTTGCTATGACCCTGAGAGCAATCGCAGCCCGACGGGCAGCATGTAACCCTCCTCTGACCCTGTGCCGCTGCATGGGAGATGCTCTGTGCGCCAGGCAGGGCTGGAGAGTCGCTCGCCCCGCGCAGTCAGCAGCAAAATATCGCTTCTGTTTTGTGTCAGCCACGAAGCGACACACAGCCCAGCCAGAGCTCTCGCCCCTGCCAGGTTTGACTGATTTTGTCTAAATGTTCCTTTGCTCAGCATCAACCTATTTGTTCCCGTGGTAATCATCTCCCCCTCGCAATGCCTTTGGTAATGTGCTTACCTCTGGAAAATTGGTCATGTTCACTACAAGGAGCTGCGGTGACTTCTGTGAGATCTGCCCCAGCTGGTTCAGCGGAAACTTCCCATCTTTTGTCATCACGATTATGTGATCAAGGACCCCTCAAAAGAACCAAACACAGGGGAGTTTCAGTATGATACAGCAGTTCACAGCGTACGCAGTGTCCCACTCCCCTCTGCTATGCAAAAATACAGATGTTACAAAAGAAAAAAACCCGTGTTTATTCAGACTTCAGGTGCTGTTTGTGTTCGTGCATCCCCTGTGCTATTTGCGAGCTAAATATTTCAATGCTACTCTGAAGCACGAAAACACGAAAACAAAACTCTTGTTTGTTTTTGTTACTAGAATAGAAAAACTAAGCAAGATTGTTAAGAATTAAAAGGAAATTGTTATTTTTTAATTCTTAGAACATAAAGAAAATCAAAATGTTGTTATAAAAATCAAAACAACTATTGTCTTTAACGTAGCAGTGTTCTCTTAAACCCCTCTTTTTTTTTTCCCCAGTCCCAAGAGGAGGTGTTGTACACTGCCTAATGTAAAGTATTCCGTTTCTCCCTGAGCTACTCTTAATCTGCTCTCTAGTTTCTGCTGCAAAATGTTAACAGGCCAAAAGGCACATGGGACGAGAGGTACTTTATCAGTGTAATTAAAAAAAATACCTGAGGTTAAAATAAATAGTTAAGAGACTGAACTGCGCTTTCCAACTCCATTAAAGACTGAAGTGCCCTTGCCAGAGCTGGGGTGGTGAATGATTCAGATTTGGTCATTGTTTAACGTTAAATTTTATCCCTGAAACTTGATACTACTTACGAATACATAAGTGCAGAGTGTTATAGTAACTGTAGGTTAGTCAAATATATTCACATTTCTTCCTACCACACAAAATTCACTAAGCGCACAAGGCTTGTAAAGGTCACTAACCACAAAGATGCAGAGCGAAAAAAGTTTGTATATGCCAGACACCAGCCTGATGGCAATTTCCAAAAGGCTAATTTAATGGCAATTGGATTTTTCCTGCCCTACTGCACCATTAGCTGACAACCTGCTTCTTCATCACATCTGCAAACAGTTCAGTTAGACACTTTTGACATCTCCCACTTACAAAAGCTATTTCCAGGAAGCTATTAACAAAAATGGATTCTTCCTGGTCAAGCTCCGGGTGAAGAAAGCCTTTAGTTGGGGACGCCAAGGTTGTAGTAATTGGGTGCCCAGTGAATAACTCAATAAAAAGAAAATCAATTTGGAAGAAATCAGAGTCCTCTGTTACTGGGACTGGGATCCTTATTTAGAGGCAATAGAGCATCACAGAAGGAAGTTACCAACCTGGTGAGGTTCTAACACTGAGATTTCTGCTGAAATCTTCTTTCAGAGCTTCTACCACTGCCTGCATGTCTTCATTGGTTTCCTCCAGATTGATAACATCTTCAACTAGGGCAGCACTGATATTCACTCTGGCTTGACTCTGCCCTTTACCTTTAGCTGCAGATTACACAGAAAATTAATTTCTATTTCTGACAACAGTTAGTTGTTGCATTAGAAACCAGAAAGAAGATAGTAAAACCCCTGTTAGATTCAGAATTGAGTCTAAGATAAACTGAAGTATTTTTTAATGAGTAAATAGCCCAGCACTTGAGCACAGAAGCCAAAATGTATTTGTAGGTCACGCTGTGTGCACCGACTCCAGCCGGGACTGTGACGATTGCCAGCTACTGCCCCGATGCAGCAGCAGCAGCTCCGTGCGGTCGGTGCCTCTCCCGTGGGAAGGGCTAAGGTTTCACTGCAACACCGTCAGGCAAACCAGCTCCTCCAGAGCTGTGTTCTGCCTAAGTTGGATCAATACTGGTGCACAGGATAAAAGGGATAAGAAAAGAATTTCTGGCAACATACTGAGGGGTTGCAAACGTCAGGAGAAAGGCTGCCGCCTTTACCTTTTTTGGTGGCTAGCTGCCTGGTCAGCAGCACCTGACGGCCACACTGCCTGCAGCCATCCAGGAGCAGGGCTGGGCAGCCTGCAGGAGCCTGCGGCAGCCCCCGGACCGTTGCGAAGGAAGAACGATGGAGCAGGGAAGGCAGGTGACGGAAGCATCTCAGTGCCATAGCCATCGTTTGCAGCTCTTCTCTAACGTGCCTGGAAGAGAGGAAGGGCAGGTGCTGCACTCGGCATGCCAAAAAGAAACAGATTCGGGTTTTAGCTGAACCTGTGGGGCAGCCGCCCGGCAGCACCGCAGCAGGTAAATTCAGCGGACGGGGCTGGGTGGCAGCCAGCCTGCACCCGCGTTACCTGCGCGGCCTCTGCACGCCCGTCCAGAGGGGCCCGGGCCCGGGGCGCAGAACCCACGTATGCTGCTCAGAGCTTCTGGGATTTGCTGGTCAGCTGCGTAGAAACTTTTAATTTCTGTCACAAGA